ATCTGGAACTCTACACGACTGCTTCGAGAGAGAAAATGAAACAAAATAATGAGATAAAGTGATGAGAGAGAATGTGGTGCGGGAAAGTGATGAGAGAGAAAGCTTATTTAAGTATTTACTTAAGGTAATAAATATATAAGGCCAATATAATTATCCGCGAAATGTGCTTTTCACGAGCATCTCCGGAACGTATCCCTCGCGAATAACGAGGGAATGCTGTATATGTGTTTCACTGGTAAGAATACGTATGTGGACATGTCTGTCTGTTGCCATCCAATAATATAGGTCATATGCTAATAAAGGCACTTTAAATATATATAATAATGCACACAAGACTGTACGATACCACAACATGTAGTGCACTGACCTATAAATAGACAGAGCTGCAGATTGTAACATTATCAACGCTCAACCAAAACAGATGTGTGCACGCCCACAGACTATGTAAATAACATTGTTTTTAAAGCGCGTAGAAATTGTTAACATTTTAAAATCATGCAGCAACAATAATGTTGCCTCTAAGAGTTGCTGTTTCAGTACTATAATTGGACACATTCACATACAAATATAATATTGATATGTAACAATATAGATCAACATTCAGACTCCAGCGGTTAGAGGCATTCATCCTTTCTGTATTTCGTTGTTATTGATACAGAAATTAAAATCACTGTGCTTGAGCCATTCAAATACTTACTTTGCATATAATATAAACGCTGTATATAACTGGTGCAATCAATGTATAGCTGCTGAGTGGTTCCCTTCCATTAGTGCAGTGGTTCTTAGCCTTTACTGCAACCTTGCACCCCTTTGGTTTTTAATCGTTAAAAATGTTATCATGTTAATAAATACATGGGTTTGATGAAACAAAGTAGTTGTACTTACGTGCAAGTGTTTAATTTGTGTTTTCGATTATTTAACTTCTAAAAAAATCTGGCAATGTCTCGCACCTCCAGAAAGGGCATATCGCACCCCAGTGGGTGCGTGCATCCCAGATTAAGAACCACTGCATTAGTGGGATTCAATTGGATAAGGTTGCCACCAATAAAGATAAATAATGCCTGCAGGACAAAGGGGGTAATTTATGATCGAGGGCTGTAATTATAAATGGTGGTCTACTTAGCCCATCATCCCTCCGGTGACAATAAAATTTGCAACACATTTGATCAAGTAAATAGTTGGTTGTTATATTTAGAGTAGCCCCTGCCGCAGGAATTTGCAATTTCCATCACGAGCTCAGGACTGCCATTCATGCCAAAAAAGCAATCACACACATGTGTTTCCATACTAGTTTGCATTCTATACGTTATAAGCTCTATGTTGCTTATCTGTGCCACTACATAACAAGCATCACAAGGACAATGAAAGTTGTAATGGCATTTGAAATTCGTTTACCAATTGTATTCTCTATCTCGTGCAACCAGCACACAGCACGAATGTGTACGCACACATCAGGCAGGTTAATTTGGTACCAATGCCCCACCTTTCCACTTGCTCCCAATCAACCTCAGCTTCTACTATATCAGCAAGGGCACAGGGTGGTACATTGTGTTGTAATTGGCTCCATAGAGTTTTCAGAATTACGACATCTATGCCGTAACCAATGACCTGACAATTGTCAGCCGAGCGTTCTTTTATTAATATTTGCCTTTCAAAGGCAGTTGCTGGTCAGCTGATGGGTGTTTTGAGGCAGCTTTTGTGTGCAACGCAGGGGTACCTGTAAATGGGTTTGCTTTTAGTTTAATTCCCTCTTTCAGGCCACGTGTGAGACAGGTCAAAGTGGTGAAAATGAAAAAGTTTAAAAATGTAAACCTAACTGTTTCGTAAAGCTCACTCTTTTCTTAATTAGCATGTCTGGTTTTCAATGTGTCATTTAATTTAAGTCGGTTGCTGGGTAACATCCATTAGTGTCATTTTATTTTCCTGTCAATGCAGCCAGGGGAGAGGGTTTCCCTTCTCCTCTGCTGCCCTCGCAGTCTGAAACTCTCTTCCTCCCAAGCAGCTGTGCTGCGAGTTGCCGATTCTCCTCTGCCTGTGACCAAGCATCACTTTCCATTTCTAAAATGTATTAATATTCCTCCTTTCCAGAGGATATCCATGTCCCTCGGGTGTGTCCGTTGTCTCCAGATGCGATTGAGGTGCTATGTACATGCAAACATTGTGCAGTATTGTAATAAATTGACAGTTATGTAGATAGAAGAACATAATAATAACAATAACATAATAAAATGAAGATAAAGTGAATAAAAAATAATAATAAATCACGTTTCGATCGCAACACAAGCAATCGTAATATTTGTATTATTTTGTATTCACTTTATTTTTATTATTTTATTTTTATTATTTTTCCTACCTACGTGACTTTACCGAAAGACCCAAAGAATATGAATTCCTGCAGTCACGAAAGCTTTAAGTCAAGATTTAATTTGACAGTTACCCATTAAATAAATAATTAGTAGCAATAATCGTGTTATCGGCAGTGCTAACCAAACACTGCATTTGCAATAACAAAAGAACTTTTATCATCAGAAGTATCATCGAATAATTAGTTTAATCGAAAACTATTGAGTGCGTCTAAAAATGCGAATGACCTTGTAATGCTCAATAGTGCTGCCTCAAGCAACGAAAGTAATGTACGAGCGTACGATGTTATGAATGTAGCAATAATCCTCCGCAAAATAGCACAATCTGTGAAGACAGTCTCAAGATTTATCGCAGCAGCAACCCTCTGCCATCAGTGATCGTCGTCATGCTGTAATCTCCACCTTCGGTCTTTCACAATCTTTGTCCTAAGTTTAAATGTATCGTTAGCCTGAATCTAACACCAGCAGTTTAACAGTGGCTTCAAAGTGAATATAATGTCATGTTTGGCATTAGCCTGAAAACATACCGTGCATTTCAACTGATCATGAAATTTTAAGAGCTTTGATTTCAAAACAGATCTTACTACCAAAAAAATAGCAATTTGGACAAATTGGAGTAGTTTATATATATGTAACTGAAGACACTTCTCATTTTCGAACAAAATACAATGGTAGCAAATGTACATTTTAAATTATTTATGTCCTCTCACATTTTAAAATACTGTATTGCACAGCTATAAAAATGAGTGAGCGCCTGTGGTAGTTTGTCCCTAAGGGTTTGTTACCAGCAAGGTAAAGTGGTGCTTAACCGCTGTCGGCATTCACCTCTGACAACAAATAAGTACAACGTTACATCTCTTTTTCTTTGAGAATTATAATTACGTGTGACGTGTAGCACTTTCATACGAACTAATTTAATGCGTGAAATCTAATTTTACGTAAACAGCATTTCAAATTGTACAAGATATACAAGATCATTGAAATATGTTTATCTTTAAAATATTTTAGTTGACCCAAATAAAACAGTGTTTTATCTTTATTAACAAAATAAAATATTGTTATTGCATGCACACATATCTATGACTGTAATCTAGAGCTTTGCTGCCATGAGAAAGACTGACATATATTTAATTGATATAATTTACCCATTGGGCCAGCTGCCTGACTCGTAATTAAACAGTTATGAGTTAAAATCCTAGTTCGACCTCTACCCAACCCATCATCCCAACAGGATTGCTCAATACGAAAGTGAAATTAGAAGTGGTTGCCTTGTCGCTATCATAGTTATCAACAGTGGTATGCTTGCTTATTCCAAAGGATGTAAAACCTGTACTATTGAATTTTGACTTGAAACTTTCGTGACTGCAGGAATTCATATTCTTGGTTCTTTCGGTAAAGTCACGTAAATAGAAAAAAAAATCTAAAGATTAAAATAAAATTAAAATAATAAAATTAAAATACTTTTTTTTAATAAAATCAAAATATATATGTTTTCTATTTACGTGACTTTACCTGTACTATTTGTTCATGATTACCTCGTATCACTCATTCCAGCATGCCTTTTATGATTGATTAACTATAATTCTCACACTTTTTGACTACTCTGACGCTGCATACAGATCAGCTACTAATGAAACAGTGAACAAACTAAACCTGCTTTATCATTCTGCACTGGCTGTACCACAGGACCCACCATTATAACCTCTCCTTAATATCCAAACTCACATCACTTGATGAAAGAATACATTTACATTGGGCCCTGTTCATCCATAAAAAAACCTTATTGGCAAATCTGTGCTATACTTAGCTAATTCATTAACCCCATTGTCAAACCTAATAAACCTAAGACATACATCTAATTGCATTTGAACTATCTCTAGAACAACAATTGGAATAGGTGACAGAGCCTTTGCCATTGCAGCACCAACATTTAGGAACAACCTTATTCCTCCGTTAACATCGTAAGTATTCCTTTAAAAAATATCCTGAAGCAGCAGTTAAGTGCTGGATACAACCAAATTTGCCAATGTGATTTGTAACTTCGATCCTTACCCATGTGTCAATAGTTACATTTTAAGGTGCACTTCTAATGGAGGGACTGTGTGTTTTATTGGTGTGGTATGGGACTGAAGGCTGTTGTATTTCTACCTTGCCCAAGTTTGCATGAGCGCTGAAAAATCGAAAGGAATTTATGTACGTGTGAAATTTGTACTCATATGCTTTATCTATTGTTTTAATTTTAGTGACTTGCTTTACATTTACTCTATTTTGCAGTCCTATAAATTTTTGTTATTGTTTGCTGTTGTAACTTGCTGACTCACGCCTACTGGAGATCTGCGAAAAAGAGCTTCATAGCTCATCGGATTTCTCCAGGATACATAAATATTCTTATTCTGACTGTCTCTTAAGGACCCAAGTTATTTTTCTGCACACATCTGGAATCATATTAAGCATGTATTTTTAATCTCATTTAACATGGGGTGAAGCCTAAACTCATGGCATCACCCTTGACAGCATCGCTGTCTCACAGCACGGTGTGTGTATGTGTGAAAGCATCTTGGGCCATGACATGAGAGAACGTTTCATCTGCTCGTGCAAAAAAAAAACCCTCTTGCTGTCAATCACATCCATGCTCACCGCAGGGCGTAGAGCACCGTTCCATTGGGGAATATGCGTATGAGCCGGTTCTCCACCGTGATGTCGTGCAGGAAGGAACGCTTCGAGTCCACGATGAAGGTGTCGGGCACCCATAGCAGCTCCACAAGCCGCCCGTCCAGACTCAGGCTCTTATTGCCCTCGAAGCACAGCCTCTCGTCCTGCCAGCGTTGCCGCAGGAAGATTGTCGCCGTGTAGTCCTGATCGCAAGGGATGCTTTCATTAGGGCCGTATGCCTTTTGTGTGTTGCTTTATTTTGACTTAAGCACGCGAATAAACGTGACAAAACGTGCTTACGCTTTTATAAAGTAAGTGAGTATATGGGGCACGGGAGGGGGGAGGCGATACACATCTTTGTTGGTGGCTCTATTCAAGGGTTGCACTGCTGTGCGAGAGATCTAAATGGATACTTTGTCTCTTAGCATGACGCTGATAGCACAATCAGGACAACATTTTCTCCAGTAAGATGGTCATTATCGTACTGTACAGCAAGTCAAAACGAAGTGCTGCATAGGCAAAGACCCATGTAGTATTGATCTCGACTGGTCGCCCAAAGTAAGTGGTGGAAATTCCACATTTCTATGGACAGTTAATCCATAGTGCAACCTATAGACATTCTATCCCTAGGACAGCCTTTGTTGACTTTCCACAAAGTGCTACTGGTATTATTGAGCACGCAGGGTTGATAAGTTGATCTTGCAACCCGTCTGATCATGAGGGAAGTTCCACAGCACCATCCAACCTACAATATTGCAGCATTTTTACAATTACCATTTTTGTACATTGGCCGTCCTATAGAGACAGATCCCTACCACAGGAACGTGGAAATTACTGCACTGGCTCATGGCCACCAACAGAGATTAGCCACTGTGTAACACTTAGATTTGAAGCTTTCGTGACTACAGGAATCCATACTCTTTGGTTCTTTCGGTAAAGTCACGTATGTATGAAATAAAATAAATCACGACGTTTCGATTGCAACACAAGCAATCATCATCAGGTGGGAAAACCACAGCTGATAGTGGAAACGATGGGCCGAAGTGGAGTACCTTCTTTATGGATTTTAGGAAGACCATAGAATCTGGGTGGTCTCGTAGCAGAAGTGGGCCATGTGTGGGCTAAAAACACTGCTTCACTAGCCATACCTGTAACACGTCCAATGTAATATTTCAGACAAGAGCAATTTCTTTTTCTATAAACAGGCTATTCAACAATTGTTACTGTTTTCATATTTCACATTGATCATCACTGTAGAGAACGCGTTTGATAATATGTATTGAGTCCAACTGTGGCGCAGACGTTCTTCTTCAGAGGCAACATATTTATTACACAACACGTATATACAAAAGGGGTAGCTGTCCCTTTACCAGTTAGAGCCTAGGGTGGTGACCACCCAGCTAACTACACTACCATACAGGAGTTATGGCTACGACGGACCAGACCCGTACTCGGGTCCCGGGCCACGTGTTGGTGCCTCTTCAGAAGTAGGACGTGGAGCTTCCAGCTTGCAGAACGAAGCAACCCCGGTCCCTCCCAGGGAACCACCTTATATCCTCCCGGGTCGGGGCCGGCTCCGCCCTTGGCCCCGCCCACCTTCGCTAGCGTTCTAGCTCCCTCACGAGAGCTCTCCCCGGACACGTGATCACCCCCTAGCCCCCCCACCTGGGGGCCTCCATATGGACACTCCGGATCACATGCCTAATGGGTCAGCCAGAGTGCCATGGCGCGGGGCAACCCTGTCCCAGGGCTGACACTCTCCCACTCCCTCTAGTGGGAACCCGCACTGCACGCTATGCATGGTGCCATCGCTATCCCAGTGCTCACCAAGCCCCGCTAGGGCTGGTACTACACCCACCTACGGGGTGTACGCGATGATAGTGCATCGCACGCTATGGCCCTCTAGGGCCGGCACCATACACCGACATCCCCAATGTCACTACACGTACAGGCATTCACTGATTTACTTGTATCATATTTACATCGCAGAATCGTGAGAGATCACGACGACTTGGAGGGTGGGGTGGGGAGGGGGGGCTTCATCCAAGCGGTGGATTGATTGTGGATGATAAAAACGAAATTGTGCATCTATTTGCTTTAACATCTTTTAAAGAATGTATATTAAACCGTTTATACCCTTTGCTAAGGAGTTTCTAATGATCGGGGGATAATCGCCTTGGGAAAGAGTATTCTGTGGTAATGGAAAATAGTTCTCTGCACTTGCATATAAAGTCATTAGCTGCGCCATAATGCTGAACAACCCTCTCTAAGGATGGCAGTCTTGTTCATGATGTTCCCACAACATATTATAAGATGTACTGAAACCAAGGTTAAATTGACATTTACCTGCTTTCTCGAGACAACTGGACTTCCCAGCCATGCAAATTTTTAGGTACACAGCTGACATGCAATATAAATATAAAATACAGTAGAACCTCGGAGATCGAACGCACCAGAACTCGAACAAATTGGTGTTCGAACGATATTTCCAAACATTTTTTGCCCCGGAAACCGAACGAAATTCGGAGGTCGAACGGGCAATCGAGACTTGAAAGAACCTGTACGGCTGAGACGCGTATAGGCCAGCGTGCATGACGCTTGCCTAGACAAAGGTTTTACCATATGAGAGGCTCAGTTAAAAATATCACCCAGATAAGGCAGTAGTCAACCGAGTGAGAAATCTGTTTAATGATAATGCAATGAGTCATTTTCTAAACATCCTAAAACGGAGGCAGAAACAAACCTCTTTAGATAAGTTTTTAGTCAGAAAGAGCTCAAGTGACTCACAGTTAGAGGCAGGAAAGAGGCACACAAGAGAAAGAACCCCAGAAGGGCAGTTACCCGACGTTATTATGGAAGGGGACTCCCCTCCAAACAATAACACCACCACCACCACCTCCTCCTCCTCACCACCTTCCACTCAAGCCATCAACTCTCCTTACTACAGGTAAAGTGAAATTCAATGTTCATTCATTCCATATATTTATTCATTTATTCCATTTATTTATTTTGTATGGTTTTATGCATGTAATTACTGTAAACTTCGTGTAAAAATGCTTTATAATAAGAGATTTATTGTGTCTGGAACCAATTAATGTAATTTACATAAATTATTATGGGGAAAATTAATTCGGTGTTCGAACAAATCGGTGTTCGAATGGCCTTCTGGAACGAATTAAGTTCGATCTCCGGGGTACCACTGTACAAGATCAACACCATATGACGCGATATTTTTTTTACTTGTCCAGGAAATTCTGTATTTCATATACATGTTGGATGTAAAATGCATAATAATAATTGTGCATGTGTTTGCTATTTATCCATCTTCTAAGAAAATGTTTCTCGTCAAAATAATATCACAATGTAAGGACATATATAGAGAATGCATTTTAAAATATATACCATGAATTCTTGTTCTGCTTATTTTATTCTGGCTCCAGGCAACTTGTAACAAATCATATTTTCATGCCTATGTGAGACTTAGTGACTTTGAAGTAAGCTGCCAATCTTTCACTGACATTAAATAATTTTTAAGCATTGATTTTAAATGACCTTCCTTCCTCGTTACAAAGCAATTATGTGACTATCTTGAAGCTGCTATTTCAATATCATCTTGACAATTAGACAAGATAGCATCCGTTGTAATTAAAGTAACTCGTCTCCTGCGTAGGGTTTTGCGGTTGCACTGCATAGCTCTCTCATGTGTTTTCGGAAATCAATTGGCTGTGATGTCTGATGTTTCACTACAAATCCTGGGAGCTTCTTCATGTACTCAGTATTCATTTCCAAAAGAATCTCCCAGTGCACGATAGTGTAACATGTTCTGTAGCTTGTCTTCAGGAAAAGGAATTATTATTCCCATGTTAAAATATTCAGAATAACTAAAACAATTAGCTATGCATACACGTAAAAAAAACCTGCCTGCCATTACCTTGGCTCACATTCATAGGTGAAAAAACAACTGTTCTTGTTGAAGTTCAAAGAAGCAAAATAACTACAAATGTGGAGAGAGAAAATCACTTCTCCTGCAGAATGTTATTATTGTTCTCAATTGCCTCACCATGTTAATCTCAGAGATGGTGTCAATGCTTGCAATGTCGAGACTCATGCCGATAGCCACTGGTCCATCTGAAGGAATACATGTGAGTAAAAAATATACTTAATTGACATGCCAAGAGAGGACAAACTACAATTAATTCGTATTACATCATTCTCATAATCTCATCATATTCTTTGGTTCTTTCTGTAAAGTCACGTATATAGAAAAAAAAGTGAATAAATAAGAAAAGAAAAACCCCAAAGTGGTTGATGACATCTTTCCAATGATGTCATCAACCACTTTTGGTCATGACTTGATTTGTGTTTTCTTGTCAACCTCCACTGTCAGCAGTGTGGGTGTCTGGAGCGAGGTGCAATGATTGCCTGGCGGCCCTTTGATTGGTGGAAACCCACCGCCGGTGTCGTTGTTTTCTCCTATCTATAACATTGGCTGCCCTGCCCATGCTGCTGACACACTTGGGCTATACCCATCTTTAAACCTTTATAAACAGTTTGCCTTTAGAGGCTAACCCCCCTTTTCCTGATGACGGCCACTTGTGTTGCGATCGAAAAGTCGTGATTTTTTGTTTTTATTTTATTATATATATTTCTTACTAACTTTAATTTTTTTTCTATCTACGTGACTTTACCGAAAAAAACTTGATTTGAAGCTTTCGTGACTGCAGGAATTACTCTTTGGTTCTTTCGGTAAAGTCACGTAGAAAGAAAAGAAAAATTAATAATAGATTACGACGTTTCGATTGCAACACAAGCAACTGATAACGGTTGCTTGTGTTGCAATCGAAACGTCAAACTCTATTACTTATTTTATTTCTACGTGACTTTACCGAAAGAACCAAATAATATGAATTCCTGCAGTCACGAAAGTTTTAAGTAACATTTTTATTTCATTATAATCTATTTAAAGTAACTATCAGTCATTGAAAAAACTGCATTCGCAAAATGTATATGTACAGTACATAGCATGTGAGATGTTTGCAATCTCCTTGATAGATGTTTTTATTAGCCATGAGGCCAATCTCAGATTAGCGAATTATATCGTGACCTACATAATATACGAGGTCAGAGTATTTTGTACTGTAGTGTGTTGTGTTTAATGTTGGGTTGGCAAAATTAACTATAATGAGTGCTCATTAAGGTACCATAAGGATGTCAGAGGCCTTTATGATGAAAAAAACATTGCTTATTGATTAGCAATTGCTAAGCAATACAGAGACAAATTGGAGGATGTTATTTAGCAAAGCAGCAATTGTCATTTAAATATTAGCATTTGTATTTACGTGTTAGAACGTTATTAGGAAAACTCATACAGTATAGTGCTATGAAACATCTGGTGTTGGATGAGAGCCATCTATCTGCCTTTTTATGCAAATAGTCTTGACCCCCGTCAACCCCATGCGATATAATTTTAGGTGCAATCTTTATGATCAAAGTGAGAGCCAGTGACCCCAATAGAATTGGACAGCCCCCGCAGCTAGCCCGAACATTCAATTATAATGCAAACAATATTAAAATATTAGCACACCCTTGTTGATTTTTTTTAAGTACATCCTATTCCAGACACTGCTGCTTTTGGGTCATTGCAAATGAATAATGTTTAAAGCATTGCACGTGACACTTTTTGAACGAGCAAACATAAACGGCTTACTGTCAAAAGAGGGCCGGAGGTACTTGTTATATCCCCGCATGAGGTTCTGAATTTTCTGAGGGAGGGCATCACCCTCCTTGTATTCTTGACTTCCTTGGCTGACCAATACATCGGCAACAGGGTCCATATGCGTCATTATAATTACAAAGCAAGATCATGCACGAATGCCGTAGCGAAAATAAACTGGACATTTCTTTGCAACCAGACAATTATGTTAATAGCACACATTATCATTCCACCAGAAAAAATAAACATCACGTGTAAACCCATCAAACGGAAGGAGATGCATGTAATGCTGTGCCTTCTTAAATATATGCTGATAGTGGTGTTTTAATGGTCAAATGTAATCAATTATCCACTCAATCATGCAATACCCTTATTTATAACCATACTATATCCTACTACGATAGAATATATTTGAAAAGAGACACCTGACCCCAATACAGTGTGGAAAAATAATTACTACGGTGTATTACTGATTATTGTTTTTTCCTATATCATCTGGATTGTGCTTGGCCTCATTGAATTTCAGAAGCTAAGCAGAGTTGAGCCTTGAATAATCCTGAGATGGGTGACCACCATGCATAAAATAGGCATTATAGGCTGCTGCTGGGCTACTAGACATTAGCAACAGAGGACGGTACATAAACATAAATTGTTGCACTGTAACTCTCTCCCCCCCCCCCCCCCCCCCCACATTTAGAATGCTGTCACTGAACTAACGACCGATATGGTGAAGCATTGACAAAGAATCCCCGTGACCAAGAGGGCGTAGCAAGGCCCTCGTCCAGCAGTGGATTGGCAAAATAGGCTGCACGTGTGCTGATCGATAATAAATATAGTTACTGAATATAGCAACAAATATAATTGTTGACCAATTCAAAGAGTACATTGAAAATGTATTACGATTAAATGATTTATTTTTGAGAAATGCAGAGCAACTAGGGTAATCGTTTATGTTGACAAAAGGTGAGAAGGTACACACTGAGAAGTTCACTGAACATACTCAGTGGCGTCACTAGGGTTGGTGTCACCCAGTGCGGTAACTCATGGTGTCACCCCTCATGGACCTCCGCCCGTACCAGACCATATAGAATCCTTCGTAATGTTTTTTGTACTAATGTTACTCGTAAATCGTAATTCCCGTATATCACTGAATGTAATGGAAACAGTAGTGACATAAACAACTAGCAAAAATAAAATTACACCTTTAAATTACAATATTTCCTCTAATTGCTACTTCTTTCTCAAAAAGTTATTGATATAGGTTCACAAATACTAATTACCACAATATTGTAGCTAAAACACCAGAAAATTTTACAAAATCAGCGACTAGCGACGAAAACAACAGCGCATGCTTGTAGCGTTTGCAGAGGAAACCATGTGACTCGAAGCGTCACTGTAATTGGGTAATAATGACAGCTCTTGAGAAGGTTAAAAAAGTTAATTAGCATAGAGTTTTAGCCTTGTGGGTATATTGATACAGTACATGTAAGCTGGGCTTACGAAAAATGTTTTTGTTGTTAGAACTAACTACTGTACTGGGATATATTTTTTTTATAAAAAAAAATTCTGCTGAAACACTGCACAAAAATTGTATAGAAAGTAATTTTGGTGTCACCCCCTCTGTTGGTGTCACCCAGTGCGGTCCGCACCCCCCGCACCCCCCTAGTGACGCCACTGAATATACTGACTGGTGTTTTTTTGCCTGGCTGTGACATTAGGGTTGTAATGCATCTGGCAGACCAATTCCAGGATTATTTTTGCATAATCTCCGTGTGACATTTTTTATAATAAAAAAAATACTTGTTGCATTCAATCATCATCATTGTGCAGATTCAAATTGTGTTAATATGATAACAAGGCAATTTTCTATGAATGTACATTTTTCATGCTGACAAAAAATCTCGCCTAATATATCTCTGAAATGGAAACTGTAAAAGAGCTTATGCACAGCAGGTGGAGCTTAATGTATAATAAAAAAAAATTTATGTAGGGCATCCATTTCTATGAGGTTATTGAAAACCTCAAAACAGAGAAACTTCAATAACTAATTTTCTAAGTATTAAAATGTATACCTAGTGTGTCGGTTACAAATAAAAAAAGTAAAATGCATCTTTAATATATATTTTTTAAATCATAGACATGCATTTTAACCATGCAGACATACACCGTCACATTTTGGGATACCATTAAATACACTTGTGATCATTGAGACAAAGACCCAAAGTTAATTCTATTTGTTGTTATTTTATTTTAACCCTATCGCTCACAAAATAGTCCTTTCCCCGCTGCATTCAATCTTAATTACAACTATAACTATGAAAACACACACGCACTCTGAGCCTGCTGTGGAAGTTAACGTCCACACACACACATGTGTTTTGCAAATGCAAAGCGTTTCATGTTCACGAATGAAATCCCTTCCATTTGTTTAATCTGCATGATAATTACACAAAAAAATCAGCGTTACAATTAACAATTTTCTTTGGTTATGTTGCACACATGTGACTCGCATTAACTTAACTCTAAAAGCATACTGTAATAGTGAACAAGTTATTTGGTGCTACTGCGTTGGAAGGGATGCACAAGCAGAATTAACAAAAACAACTCAACACAATCGTCAACAACACTGCGTTCGAAGAGAATCATATCTAATCGGCGACGTTTGGGCAATAACCCTTCGTCTGCTATGAAGAAAGGGCCATTGCCCAAAACGTCGCTGATTATTTACATTTTCTCTTTTATTGCATTATAACAGTAAAGTCAGCATATACACCGTACATCTGTAATTGGCAGTGCTCGTAGTAGTAGTAGTACGATTCGCATTATACAAACTATCCTTACAGAACAATGTCACGAATGTGTTCACGTTTGGCTTATGAGTGGCATGTATCAACCTTACCTGCACTTGATAAGTTGTAACAGCAAGCTATAATATAACAGCAGCATCCTTTTCTGTTTGGTTGTTGATCCAGATTTAAAAAAAATTACCTGCAAAAAAAGGTTTAAAAAAACGTGTGTAAACATTCTTTTTACCAATATCTTCCATAAATTATCATTTGATTTTCGCATGTAGGGACCCAAGGATGCCACCGACAAATAAAATAACTCATATTGCACCGCGGATTCTGCCACTGATAAAATGCAATTGAGCCTTGCTCCAATCGAGGACATGGGGGGGGGGGAAGCACGCATGCAAACGATTACATAGTTATTTAATCGTTCACATTAAATCACCACTGATAAGGATGTCTTTTCGTGGGATGTAAAAAAGAATCTACAAGATGTACTCACCTGTCTCTCGGTGTGTTGTGTTGCTCTCCCCTTGCAGCAGAACAGAGAATCGCACTCGCGACATGCACGGAGCCCCCAAGGCAAATGTTCTCCCATGCACGCGTTATAAAGGACGCGCAGGCTTATTCACCAGAACAGCATCAATACGTGTCCCGCCAGCGCACATTCACCCACGTGTCTGACCATTCCTCGGTATTTTACGCTTTTTTAACACATGCATTCGGCTGCACTAATTTGCAGCAATTGCACGATAGTTGTAAGGAACAATAAAATACGACAAAAATAACACTTGAGAATTAAGACCTCGTTTTGCACTTTGAATTATTAGAACTCACCGTGTCCCCATAGATTTGTCGTGACCTTAAGTCTTCAGAATAATAAAGCAATTGGCAATTTGTGCCGCGTTCTATCCCTCAAATCGATGGACGCATGAGCGGCTTGTATCCAAACACGGCACACGCAGCCTGAACGCAGCGCTGTCTGCTCCTAAGTTGTTTTTAGCAACGTGCTGATGGAAGAAATTCCCAGGAGATATTTTTTGGAATGAAATGCCCTCAAGGAGAGGGAGAGAGGGAGGAGAGACCGCCTAGCACCAGGGGTGACTGTATAGTATTAAAAACCCCAATACGTACAAGCAAAGACTTTCGTTGGAAAATTAACCTAATAAATATATATTTTAAAAGTATATATACATATTTACCTTTTACCTATTATATACTCTTGATCCTTCTGACAATGTTCATGCATTGTGTGCTTGTGTCTGAGAGAATAATCCAAATGGTAAAATACAAATTCCAACGTGACATTGGACGTGAAAATATCACCGACGTGTGACATGAAAACAGCACAATATCACGATAGTGGCAGGTGGTCGTGAACGAGGCAACGGAGAGGAAGACATGGTTGTGGTTTGGGGGGTGGAGGGAGTCGAACAAAGAGAGATCAGAGATAAATGAAAAAGGCAGCGAAAGATAACTAGCGTACAATGCAGAAGCGGCTAGCGCATATTTAACGCTCAGCGTTAAAGATGAACCCAATCTGCGTGAATAAGACAATCAGGGGCACTGTGCCAGTGCAATCTGCCTCATGCCCATGATGTCACATTAAGGTTGAGGGCACAGCTGCCCTGCCAAACGACCACCTACCTCCTTAGGATTGCTTTAGAGTTGGCAGGTCAGCCTGAACAAATGATATGTTCCTGCGTGTCCCGTATAGTTTTACAGATGCCTTAGCGCATGCCCTTCGAAACCACATCAGTCCTCGCAGCCTTTCAATGTGCGACTTTCTCTTTCCACTGATTTAAAGGCACGCTCAGTGTCCATCTCCAATTGCACACACAGTATTCAGACAACACAGAGCTGTAACGACTGGGTGGACAGCCGTAGGTTTATTTGATGTGCACAAGGTGTAGACGGTGCTACGGGGCTGTCTTCGCAAGGGCTCTTTCGTCCTATTATTCTTACACCGGCAATGGAAACCTGTAATGTGATGTGTTGCTTACGCATATTGATTTGATGAGTAATTGCTCAAATCAAAGTTGGCGTGACTGAGAGTGGGCTTGTGCGAGTAGCTCGGAATGCAGCATTTTCCAGCATCTCAGATTGCTCCAAGGGTCCGGAATATAAACGACCTACGCAGTAGCTGCACCTTGGTGCAAGGGCCCCTTGCATTTTATTGCATTTCATGAACACAAGTTCATTGCCATGTCAATTTATCCTGCTATGAGTGATGTAATGCTAGTGAAGATAATCCAAAATATTATGAAAGAAATAACGCCCACAATTTGTGCGGGTGTCCTTTAGCTCCAACAGAATGTGCAATACCTCGTGGCCGCTACTGTACTGCTTAAATCCACCAGCATATGTATGACTATTATCTGTACACAACAATGCAAAATTCACCACCAAGCCGTATTTTATGCAATATATTTTCTGTGGTTGTTTACGATGCTTTCAGGAGCACAAAAAATGCGTATCGTTTGTCCAGCAGGCACTGCCCCAATTGTCTCCAGATAAGCAGCTTGAAACATAGCTTGAAACACAGCCACATAAACCATATAAAATAATGATCCGTCACGAGTACACGTATTGCTATAGTAATTACATGATTAAAATACACACATTAAAGTCAAATAGGTGGATAAATTCAAATGTTATCCTATTACTTGATCATATCATAAATGCAAAGCGTGATGACATATTGTGTTAAATTGAGATTACGCATATGCAAATAAAATGCACCTAATTACTATTCATACTTATTTGCATCACGGCAGGGTTTTTTCCCCTAAACTTACAAATGTATTTAATTGGAGCCTCTCATGTAAGCAGCCACCTCTTTGCAATTTTTTTACACAATGTGCAAAACCTGATTACCTCGTACATGTCAATATATACAAGCATTAGCACAGAGGATTCCTGCTGAAAGTTCGTTGATTAAACCAAACCTCAGATGTTTACCACTTTGTACAGATTCAATGGATCATGTACATTTTGGGGGACAAATAAAACTGTGGGGTTTTTTTTTATTTCTTTATTCCTCCATAGCTCGATAGGCTCCGCAAACAGACGGCCTTCTAGGGAAATCTTGAACTCAAACAAAAGCCGAGCGCTTCATCTTGGTACCGTGAAAGTAAAATGCCCAAGTTTAAACGTTGCAGTGGCTGGGTGGCTCAGACCACTGACATAATGGTTTCTAATCCAGGCAGCAACCCATGATTAAAACGGCCTCAAATTTAGACAATTGAAGATTTTAGTTCTGTTACCAATTGCTGCACAAAACCCCTAATAGTTGTTTGATCAACTCAACTTATGCATTTCGGTATGTCATACAGCAAACCTCTCAATAGCAGGGTGTATAGGGGAAGTTGCAGTGCCTCTGGTGTGGCTAAAAGGGCACTTGAAGGTATCTCAGAAACAGTCTGGGATATCTCCTTACATAGGCCATTTTCTAATTAGTGATGTACTGCTGGAGCTGCAAATGGAAATTTCTTCATCTTGTAACACAACACTGATGGCACAATTGCAATAACATTTTGAAGAGACAAACATGTTAGAAATAAAAAATGTAAATGTGCCTATGCATATGTGTAGTAAGTTCGAGGAGACGATGTCGAAGTTGAGGCACACTCTGTTTATTAACCCAGGGACAGGCACAATAGTTGAAGGGGTATCGGCCCCTTCACCCGTACTATGGGAAACCCACCCTAGTACTAAGCCCCCTGTCCTGTTCCCCAGTCCTCCTCTACTGGGCTACGGGAGGCTGACTGATCTGGCCCTGGCAAGCACAGATCTCGGCACCAGCTAACCAGCCTTGCCCTGATAAGGGCAGCGGTCTGGAAGCTTTTGGGCCGCGCCGCTGCCTTACCCGGCTCGGCCCTTATAAGGACGGCGAGACCGGGGAGTCCCAGGGCCTAATCTTCGAGTCTTGGATCTTCACTGGTCAGCTTCGTGTCGAACTGCCTCGAGCTCTTTGGGTCTCCACCTTTTATAGGGATCACCTCCGAGGGCTGGGGGCGTGGGCAATAACCGATGCGGACGTCGGTGTGACCACCCGTGTATGTGAGTGCCAACACCCATGTGTTTGTTGTCCGCCGTTTCTCCCGTAATACTCCCTACATATGTATAGATTCATTGGATTCCACCCCCAAGTTAAAGATATACGAAGGGGGTGGGAAAGTGTGTATGGTTAAACTCTTACTGTAAGATCGTTACTCATTATGAGTCTACACCTCTAGGGTCCTTTAGCTCACAGAGAATACAATTACCTCAAGACACGACTGCATATCGGGGCAGTGTCAACCGTGATATCACATAGTGATGAAGCACACGGTGTTGTTACCTAATTATTGAAATGCATGCCGCCGTGTGTGTGCGCATGGCACCATACATTTGTGTGTGGTGTTGGGATTTGTCATGAGTAATATTGTCCTCTTTTCGATTTTTGCTTTTTTAGGATTCCGTGGCAACATGTGAGATTTGAGGAGCCAATGTAAATGTAAAGTTATTAAAATAAATCATTCACTGGCCTGATCTCCAGCCAGTAATTGTCAACGTCTGGACAAATTTGAACTCACTCAACTCAGCTGTGCAGTCTAAGCAACTTAAGAGTGTATTTTCACTTCTCAGGAAAAAAATATATATGGAATTGTTAGCTGCCCTTTCAGTAATATTGGATTGTTATAATATCAATAAATATGTATCTGTGGAGGTTTTATATCCTTATGCTGATGTCCAAGTAAGAATTTTATAAAATTAAATGGCAAAAACATATTTCAGTTGATTTGCTTGATATTTTTTACAAGTGTTTTAAGTGTAATGACATTTATATAATACCACTTTAAGCTTTATTGACTGATATAATAAGGTTTTAAGTAACGAAGCATGAGATGCTCTATATATTGTAATAAACACAGAAAGCCATGCTGCACATGTTGGAGGAGTAACGCATGTCCTTTAAGAAATGTACATTGAAGTTTAGCCACAGGCACACTACGTTATCCAGTAATATTTGAACAAACCCATCAGACTGCAAACAATCTAGCCATACTTAAGTACAAAAAATAAATAGTACGTTATAAAATGAAGTTGTTGTAACACCATTGGAACCTCCTTTGCCAGTAGCAAAGAAGGTTCCAATGTGCCTTTTGGCATTATCTGGTCCAACACCATGTGAGACTAGACTCTAAGAAAAGCTGTCTCGGGTGTGGACCAATCAATTTCAAGGACAGTGCATACATTATCAGAGTTGTGTTTTTTGTTTGCATTCCGACCGCAGGTAATGTGGTCAATGCAAACATGACTCCTTGTAAAAAAAAGGTGTCAGTTTTGTTGCCAGATAAAAGGGTAAAAAAACAATTATCTTGTTGGAACACATCATGCTTAACTTTTCTAGACATTTACAATCCATAGGAAATTGAATAGAATGGCCTTGATATTAACATATCCATGTTTTTTCAATGAGACATTTTTAAAACATTTGATATTGAATTCACTCAATATATCAAATGTCAGCTACATAAAATGAAGTGCACAGTGTCCTTTGGCATTGTTGACAATTGGGGTTGGGAATACCTTTAAACATATATATAAAAGTTACATTTTAAGCATATGTATGCATGGGCCTGCAATGTAAAAAAAATGTAAACCACACACACAGGCACACACACTATAAATATTTAAGTTAATGTAGTCATGATATATGAGTGTGGCAACACTGCAGGTTATTAAACTGATTGGAACCTGTGGGTGTTTGTCTAAATTGAATTTACACAGGATTATAAATTATAAACCTATTGAAGCACATTACACTTTATTATAAAGAACATGATTGTGGAAAAGTACAAAAACTAATCAGGCAAGAATATTCATCAGACAATGCAGTTTTATTAGCTTTCTTTGTTCAATAGCGATACAGAAACGTCGCAAATAATATAATTATACACTTAATATTAACCCACCTCTACTTTTCACTGAAATATTGCATACACATATTCAAGCTTCATTAAATGCACCTGACAATGTTTTACTGTGAAAATGAAGAAATAATAAACATTGGAAAAAAAAGTAGAATGCAATTATAAGTGGGGCATGTAAACCTACGCATTGCTTTAACTAAATGTCAAAATGTGAACACTACATTTTTATTTTACACAGAGAAATGTAGATATGTAGTTAACCATGCTAAAATTCAAAATTTTTCGCATTAAGTTGTCATCAAAAAATACTTTGTCTCTATATACCTTTACAGCCAGTTTTAATAGTCATGAGCATCTTCTAAAACAAATTACTAACTTGCTTCCTTAGCAATAGATTGAGCAGTATGTTGGGATCTTCAGCTTTATCATCGTGAGACTTTCCTGAAAAGCAAAAATGAGAAAGCAGCTTTAATGACCATTGCAAATTAATAATATTATTATTATTATTAATGGGGATGCAACAAAAGAATTGTGATTAGTCAACGCTTTACAATGAGATTTGATGATTTGCTCACTAGGGGAATCATTCAAGGGACAGATTTATTATAGAACAATAAAACATTCAATGTACATTTACCATCACACTTCTTGCCACTGTTACGCCCTTGCTGCAATATAACCATGAACAAAACTAAAACCGTTGGTGTAAGTCATGTTATTTTGACTGATAAATTACTACACATCACGTGTATTTGCTGCTATATTTAATGACACATGAATAAAATGATTTGGAACTAGCTTCTTTGCCCGACCTAGACAGAAGCTGTAATATTTACGAAAACATCAAGCAGAGTATAATTGTATCTTGTGTAAATTTAATGGCAGTCAATCTTGCACAAAATAATGTCATCAAACACTTCACTGCATTTCACTGTAGCACTGTATTAATGGCAGTGAATCTGGCACAAAACTACGTCATAAAACACCTCACTTCATGTCATTGTAGCACTGTATATAAACTGACCTTCAATTTGTTCAAATTCACTGCTCTGATACTTTATTCTCTTCTACTTTCGGTCGCTGGGGTTGAAATTAATTGGAAATCGATGCAATATGTGGAAAATCACCGAGAAATGTCTATTTTACCCAAATGTAGAAGCATCAATTAGACTTACCTTTTGTCTCAAGTGCTCAAGAAATAAATAAAGACACCAAATGCACTTTGTTGCTGCATATAATTATTATTACATTCACTATCAATGAAGAAACGTCAAACTTAAAGTGAATTTGTGAAAAAATTGTATTTCCGCTCAACCTTCTGCGTGAGTGTAAAAACACACCTGCTCATGATTATTAATGAGGGGGGGGGGGCTCTTTTGCAGTGACGTCACGTACGGATGTAGCACTGTGCAGCGTATATTTATTTTTTACCGTTACTTTCTGAAAAGAAACGTCATATTTGGAGCGACTTTGCGACAAAAAAATATCTTTCCGCTCGACTTTCTTTTGCGTGAGTGTAAAAATCCACCCGCTCAAGATAATTTTCTCCCTGCTCACAAAGCAGAGTACAGGTTTTCCTCGCTTTATGCAGTCGATGCGTTCCAAAAATGGGCATACAGCGCACTCACCCAACCCCCAATGCACCGCACGAGACAGATTCCGAATGAGTAGCCCACCGTACATACAATGTTGTTCCTTCGCAACGCCGCATATAACGAATTTATAGCGAATTTTCGGTATAAATAGGTTAGTCTAACTCACATGAAGCTCTTTTGATGGCCCTGAGCCAGTGGTAAAAATTCAACATTCTCATGGCAAGGACCAATTTATATTTAAGAATCGTCAATATTAATCATGTTATCGGAACATAACTGCTAATGCACAAAGAGTTATGTTGTAATATGTGTGTGAACCAATAGAGCAGAAATAGGACCTTTGGTTTTTAACCTTCGGGGTTTTTTTGATGAATTAACATTTTTTTGTTAACATACACAGCTGCAGACATATCTTGTGTGACTATGCAGCAGATATTCTATAATAATGTGTGAGCTCTGAAGATGATTGACCCGGAGGCCTCTTAAACAATGACCTTTCAGGGAATATGCTCATCTGAGCATGTGACACAATTTAAATCAAGTCAGGTGGAAAAGCTATTGTGAAATTCTGGCTGCTGCTTATGCCACCGACTCATTTGTATACCTTTAGCTCATATTAAATGTAATATGCTCAATATAATTCATGTGAAAACAAGTTTTCTTCACAGATTGATTATAAAAGTCTGAGATTTAAGCAACATTTCCCATCCTTGCTCACTATGCAGTAAAAGTGCATTATCCGAAGTGATTTCTAGCTATCCATATGTTTACTTACTAAGGATTATACATAAAACAGCAAAACTCAGATCCTCCCTAAAAAACAACACTTTGGCCTTTATTTATACTAGAGGAACACTAGATCATGACCATCTTTCTTACAAAAAATGTATTGGCATTTAGCCATCCTTATGGGTGGCATCTCATAAGGATTACAATTAAAGTTCGTCAATTGTGTGTGGTGGGATAAATTGTGCACACTCCAACCTTTTCTTAAATGTCTGGCTAGTATAGAAGAGTTGACAAATATAGCATATATAGGGCTCTAGTGGCAGCCCTTCTGCCAGTATAACAGATGCACAAGCATTTAATTTAGGATAGCAAGCCTGTTTCCTCAAGAGGTATTTTGGAACCAGAAGAAATATCAACCTCTCGTTTCTACCACCAAACTGGTGGTGAATGTTCGTACAATAATGGCCGTTTGACAAAGTTCATTATGACAGTCTGCATGCCAATATTGGCATGGGAAATTCCTCCACTGACTAACACAGCAGCATGATTCCTTAAAAAATATTAATTATCATGACATCACTCCAATAGGCAGCATACACTGTCGAAGTTTTTAATTATTTTCAGTCATTCTGTCATGCAATCCACATACATTACAACAATGTTTACTAACATTTGAATTTGATAACATTTACACTTGGTACCCAGTTGGGTGAGCTCCATCATTTTTCAAATGGGTGATTCAGCATTTACACATGCACATATGTTGTACAAATGTTAAGAAGATAAACAGATGCTATATTTTGACATTGAAAATGTAAGATTTTAGGTAAAAAAATTATAACTGATGTTTATTGATCATGGAATGTATTGATCATACTTGCTGTCCATATTTGAGTAATACAATTTATTACAAACTAGTTCATGAAGCCTCTCTTCGCCAGGCAAACGTTTTCAATAAATATAATAATTTACCTGATGATTTTTTACAATATTTATCTACAATCAGACACTAACAACTACCTACTCTTAGTTCTTTCGGTAAAGTCACGTAGGTAAAAAATGAAATTAAAATTAATAAAAATAAAACAATAAAATCACGACGTTTCTGAGGCAACACAAGCTTCCGGAAGGTAAAAAATGAAATAAAAATTAATAAAAATAAAACAATAAAATTACGACGTTTCGGAAGCAACATAAGCTTGTGTTGCCTTCCGGAAGCTTGTGTTGCCTCCGAAACGTCGTGATTTTATTGTTTTATTTTTATTAATTTTTATTTCATTTTTTACCTACGTGACTTTACCGAAAGAACTAAGAGTATGAATCCTTGCAGTCACGAAAGCTTCAAATCTAGAACTAACAACTACTCCCAAAAAAATTACTTTTCCGCAAAAAACTAAAATTGTTGACAATATTTATTCAACTTTTTTTATTTAAAGACGTACCCATTGGAAACCACTCAATATAAAGATTCCATTATTTTATTAGAAAGAACAAAACATTTATGAACTTAATATTCTATGAGGGGAAGCTCCTATCTTTTACCGTTTTCGAATTATTCAGATTTGAACATCATAAAATGCATATTTTTTCGATCATAACCACTTTAATCCGTAATATCTGAAAAACAATGAAATATAGAACAATGGTTCTCACTTTAATTGTATTTGCTGTTTAACGCTCTATCAAACGAATCTTGTATTTTGAATGGTTTATGAATGACACACGCAAACATGTTTATGGGGCACTTAAAATCGAGTTTTGGGGGCCTTAAAATGAAAAATCTAGTACTTCCTGTTGTTTGTGCCCTGAAAGCTACCTATGTACCAAATTTCAGCTTTCTACCTTGTCGGGAAGTACCCTAGAGGTTTTTGAGACATACATATTAAGGTATTTAATTATATAGAGTGTACATTGCTTTTATAATGGTAGGAAATTATGCGACAGTTTTCGGAATGTAAAATTTCTATTAGTTCAAGGCTACACATGTGTAATGCGGGCGTAAATGGGCGGGGCGGATATGACGATCCGAGAGGGAGGAGTCAGGGTGACGTGGGGGAGAAGTTATAGCGGGGAGACAGGAAGCTATCTGGGGCAGTCGGGGGAGTGAAGGGTGGTGAACACGTTGGGTGGTCGCCGTGCCTCAGCCTGGTGGCTGAGGGGCTCATGACGGCGCCAGCCAGCGGGGTGGAAGAGAGAGTGGAGGATTGAGGTAGGAAATGGCGAGATAGCCATAGAGGCCACGAAGGGCTGACATTGGGAGGTGGCGAGATCGCCACGCACGGAGGAACAGGGAGCAGCGATGGAGCTGCTGGGGGAGCAGCCAGAGGGCTGTACCAAGAGCCTGCAGCGGAGCTGCAGGAGCGTGGAAGGCTACGGGAGCGAAGGCAGATGTGGGGCTGCCAGGGAGAGAGTCTCAGGAGGAGTGCCGTGTGGGAAGGAGAACGCGAACCCCAAATAAAGGACACGGAGTCAGCAAGAAGTGTCTGAGTCCTTTTATTACACTGGAGTCAGAAGTGAAACGGCATCTCAAAACAACTGAGAGAAAGAAGAAAAAAAAGAATATTCCTGCTACATCATCCGACGACGACGACCTTCCTCAGACGGTGGACCTGCCTGCGATGGAAGAGGAGATCCGTTCTGGAACGAGTACGGGTCCGGGTGAGCAAGGTGTCGCCGCGTCGGTGGACCTGTCTGTGCCGGAGGACGCCAACTTACGATGGAGACAGATAGCGATGCAGATGGGGACCTTGAAAATCGTGCTGGCGCAACTGTGTGAGTTCACCACGCCGAGGACGACGTCGGGGAGGCCCGGTGGTGATCCGCAGGCCTCTGCCTTTCCTGCGCTGCCAGCGCCATTGCCACGTGGCACGAAGACGCCATCTTGGGCGTGGCAGGGGAGAAACGGCGGGAAGCCGCCATCTTGTCTTCACCGCGGCGGGAGGACGCCGCCATCTTCAACATCGCGGCGGAGAGGCAGCCTTGCGCTGCCATCTGGAGGTGCCGCGGGGTGAGCAGCCTGCTGCGAGCTGCTGTTTTTCGAGGGGGTGCTGCGAGGAGAAGACGCCGATGCTGCAGCTGCTGGGGCGGGAGCTTCCCGTCCTGGCTCGGGTGCGTGAC